ATCTGAACAGCCAAACAAAACAGATCAGATTTGGTGAGAAAATCAGATTTGGGCCACTTTTACCTGCTGTGTGAGCAAAGCCTTGCAGACTGAAGACCACCTCTTTGTACAGCACTCAAGTGGGCACTAATATAAGTACTTAGTGAACTGTATTGTTTTACACTTTCACTGTATTTAATTCTGTATCTTTCTTTCTAGGTGTCAACACTGGCTTTCACTCCTACCAGTATCTGAGATCAAGGGCAGTCTGGACTCTAACCTAGTTGTACTAGCTAGGAAACATTCTGAGTGGACAACAACACTTCTTTAAGTCGGTCAGGGGCACAAAGACAAAAAAGCAGGGCATGGGCCCTTTAACACCGTGTAGGTGCGAGGCGTACCGTCCGAGGCTTTAGACGTGGCCTGTCTTTTGGTGCAGGTCACACAGAGCAGACTGTTACTCTGAGTCAGATGCTCCACCTCTGTAAACTGGTACAGACACGACTCCACTGAGCACTCCTGCTTGTCCGGCGCCGCCCTGCTGGCCAGAGTGCGGAAGGCCAGCTCTGGATCCTGATTCACCACCACATACTCTACAGTGTCACCTACAGGTGGAAATATGGCAAAATCAGTTAGTAGATACATGGTTTCTGTTGTGTATAGGCTCTATAAGTGCCCTATATAGGCTCCGCCCACAAATGTGGTCTTTAGTAAATGTAGGTATTGTGATATAAACTGAGTCTGTTCTACAGTTTCTCACTAGGCTGAATGAATAAACGACTCTAAATGTAGGTATTGTGATATAAACTGAGTCTGTTCTACAGTTTCTCATTAGACTGAATGAATAACCGACTCTAAATGTAGGTATTGTGATATAAACCGAGTCTGTTCTACAGTTTCTCATTAGGCTGAATGAATAACTGACTCTAAATGTAGGTATTGTGATATAAACTGAGTCTGTTCTACAGTTTCTCATTAGGCTGAATGAATAACTGACTCTAAATGTAGGTACTGTTATATAAACAGAGTCATGCTGATGCCGAGTCACCTGATGCTTTCTCTTCCAGCCCCGCCTCCAAGCTCTCCTCATTGGCTGCCTGCAGGGACAGTGCATTCACACCATCTGCTAACTCGTCTTCCTCATTTAACGGGACGCTCATTTCTCCCTCCTCATCCTCCTCTTCCTCTCCTCCGTCCTGCTCCACGTTGGCGTCGGCTCGTTCCTCTGACAGAGCGCTGAAGCGGTTGATAGTCGACGCAGCATCTCTTTCAGAGGCTTCTTTACTTTCTTCCTCCTCCTCTTCCTCGTCAGCAGGTGCATCTTGGTCCCGCCCTGCTGGCTCAGAGGCCACTGACTGGCTCTTATCCTGGTCCGCTTCACCCTCACTGCCAGCCTCCAACTGTCCATCTGCAGTGGTAGGTGGAGCTTCTGAAGGGCTTCCCGTGTCCTGATTGGTCAAAGCGTCCAGCGTGAGCTTCGCTCCCTGTTTCTGCTGCCGCCTCTGATTCTGTAAACACGACAAAATAAAACATTTTTGATTTTACACTGTGAACAATAGAAAGCTATATCGCCCCCTACACTTCCTGTAGTGTATTACAGTCTGTCAGAATCACTGTGTGGATCATATGAACATTATAGAGGCTTTTTAAATGAAACAGTAGAAGCCATATCGCCCCCTACACTTCCTGTAGTGTATTACAGTCTGTCAGAGTGACTGTGTGGATCATATGAACATTATAGAGGCTTTTTAAATGAAACAGTAGAAGCCATATCGCCCCCTACACTTCCTGTAGTGTATTACAGTCCGTCAGAGTGACTGTGTGGATCATTATGAAGCACTTTTTTAGCTTATTTTCCACATTTTTTTTCTTTTATGGCTTAAACTATAAGATGTAAATGTTCCTTAAGTATTTTGTTAAAATAAGAACTGAACTTCTTTGAAAACAAATTTTTATAAAGTCCTAAATCTGGACATTTGAAGACACGTGAGGATCATTAGCTCCAGAAAGCTACCCTGAGGCACATCTCTGTACCTTTGCCTGTTTCTTGGCCTGCTTCTTGGCCTTCTTCAGCTGATACTTGCTGCCTGCACCTGTCGGCATATCTTCATCCCCGTTGGCCAGCGGAGCGGCAGCGTCCTTCCCCCTGTCCTCAGAGACGCTGCTCTTCTGCTGAACTCCCTTCTTCTGGTTCTTCTTCCTGTAGGCCTACAGAAGATCAACACCACAGTCACTGATCCACAACAGACAGATCTGGCTGTAACTTGGTAAATAGTACAGTCAATTTTGTCATCAACACCAGCCTGCTTTGAGGACCAGGCCCTGAGAAGGCGGCGGCGTCGTCTGACGCTGCTAACTGAATGACGTGGATCCTCAGACGATATGAGAGGAAACAGAAGTGTGGCAGGCTGGTGCCCACGCTAGACTAAATTCTACCTCAACTCAAATAAAGCATTTTTCTGCTAATTTTAGTGTATGATTTCTATGTATTACCTGAGTTTAACATAAACATAAAATATAAACCGTGCCATAACTTCTGGACAGGCCACATTTTATATTGTATTGTTTTCCAACATTTTAAGTTCAGTAAATAAACAGTGGAATAAATTGTGCAGAAGTGTGTCTCTGTAGAGGACGTTGTAACTTATATTCATCAGAAAATCAACAACAACAACACGGAATTTGACCGGGGCGCACAAACTTTTGCATATAACTATATGTTCAGACAAATCCATTTCAGATGCTCACATAATGCACTCTTGTAGATTAACAGTAGCTTATTATTCTGTCTTTTCATTTTTTAATAAAAATTATTTTTAATAACCAAAGTAAACTTGAAATATTTTACTGTGCACAACAGCAAAAACATATATATATATAGGTTGTTTTTCAATTTGTCAATATTGCTGTTTAGCACACGCCCCTCAGGTCAGGAAAAACAGTGCTAATGTTGCTTCATATCTTAGTTTCTGCTGAAGTTCTCATCTTATTTTGCAGCTTTTTGTTTGAAGTTTCCGTTCCACCTTAAATGGAGCAGCAGTTCCATTCTGGCTCCCCTTCAGGCCTGAACACAGATATAAATCCATAGATGCCGCATTGTCTGTTGTTCTCCATCTGAGGCGATACGTATAAAATTTTATATCAGGCCTAGTCATTATTTTTTTCTCCCAGTTATTTGTAATATTTGTCTTGGTTTATTTTCTAAAATAAAAGTCTCCGTGCATCTGTTTGGTGAGACTGAAAACTAGTTAGTCCTTATATGCAGGGCAATAATCTGAGTGGTCCGAGGGGGGACCAGCAGTGGCAGTTAGCAGGGTGCCGACCTTATCAACCCAGCGGACCGACATATGCAGCTATCTGGGATACACCTCACGTCATAAACGTTGCAGTGAATACAGCGTTATTGTTTTGCACTACATAGAAATGCAGAACCTGAATCAGACATCAATAATCAGATCAATGTATTTACAGCGTCAACATAGTCAACAATACTGAAGAGACGCAACAACTCCAAAGTTTTTCTTTAACAAACGACAGACTGGATGACGGTACCTCATCAGCCACAGGCAGCGACAGGTCGAGAAACACCTCCGTCACCAAGGAAACGGTCTTGCACTCCTTACACATCACAGTGCTGGTCATCTCCCCGCCAAACACGTGGTCCACGAAGTTCTTGCTGCCACCGTTTCTCTCGTACTCTTCAGAGAAAACGAACACGGAGGAATATTTTACAGTCACTATGTTTATCTGGCCTTATGAGCTGGTGGTGCTCATTAAAAGAGCTGTATATTATTATATACCAGAACTAGTATGTAGAAGTAAGAGTTAGCGTTAGCATGTAGCTAACATGAGCACACACACACCTCTTTTCATGAGCACTAGCACTAGCACGTGGCTAACATTAGCGTCTAAGGAAGAAAAACTTTACACAGTCTTTGCAGCTTCATATCTTACGTAATATATTTTGTGAATTCAGTATTAGAGAAAAATTTGAGCTTTTTAACAATTCAAAAAGCAAAAGATTCAAATACAACAAACTATTACATATTCGCTCTGGCCTGAGAGCTTGTAGAGAGGAGAACTGCTGCTCCATAATATCTTCCGGGTTTCTCAAACACTAGGGGGCGCTACCGAGCGAGTCCAAAATGAATGGGTTAAGATGGAGCATTTGAGCAAAATCATAGTTTATAAATGATTAAACAGTTTTAATGTAAAAGAATCCAATCATTTCCTGAACACAGAGCAGCATAAAACATTTTAACACTGCTGTTATATTTTTAGGAGCTTTTAAACTCGAATTATAGGAGTTTAAAACGGCGCCTCATGTACGTTCATGAGGTCTGTGAGCACGAACAGCCAATGAGCTGCTCCGCTCACCAACCAATCAGCGCTCGGTAGCAGTAATGTTAACCAATCAGCGCTCGGTAGCAGTAATGCTAACCAATCAGCACTCAGTAGCAGTAACGTTAACCAATCAGCACTCAGTAGCAGTAAAACCAACCAATCAGCTCTCAGTATCAGTAATATTAACCAATCAGCACTTAGTAGCAGTAGTTTTAACCAATCAGCACTCAGTAGCAGTAACATCAACCAATCAGCACTCAGTAGCAGTAACACCAACCAATCAGCACTCAGTAGCAGTAGTGTTAACCAATCAGCACTCAGTAGCAGTAACACCAACCAATCAGCACTCAGTAGCAGTAGTGTTAACCAATCAGCACTCAGTAGCAGTAGTGTTAGTGTCCTGCTACCGTGATGTCAGACTGACATCACGCACAACAGAAAACGGACTGACGCAGGTAAAAACTCACCTTTCGCTATTTTCTTCTGTTCTTCATCCAGACTTTTCCCAGAGCTCTTCAGCGCCTCCAGGATTCCAGCCGTTACTCTCTGAGAGAGAAGTGAGCCGGTTTAGACGTTACACAGCACACAAAACGTCCACAAACCAGTCTGACGTGATCTTTACACAGCGAGAAGAAGAGCCTCCTGACTGCTGTCTGTCCACCGCCATCGACGACAGACCACAGACCCAATCAGAGCAGCTGTTTTTATGGAGTTAGTTTTGTGCCAAAATGTTTGAGGGAAGATCCTGATGTCTGAGAGAGGAATGTTCCGGTTTGAGAGGACAGCGCTGCTCTGAGCGCAGCTACTGAACTTGAACGCACTGGTCAGCACGAAGTGCGGCAGATAAACACCTCGGATTTGCTCAACAAAACACTCCGGTTTTCACTCAAAACTGGAAAACCTGCTCAGTCGCGCTATTCACCTTCAGCATAAAGCTGCTTAAGAAAAGACGCCACGATTGGTGCGCAGACAGGACCCGCCCCTCGGCAGCTCTGATTGGCTGGAGTTTTGGCACAAACATTCAGACGTTTTTCAGCGAGCAGGTGTGGAAGTTGAGCGCAGCTGTGGAGCTGAGAGCAGAAATGATTTGGGCACATGCGAGTTTTGAAGGTGAAGAGCGCCGCTGAGCAGGTTTTCCAGGTTTGAGTGAATCCGGAGTGTTTCATTGAGCAAATCCGAAGACGTTTTCCAGCCGCACTTCGTGCCGACAAGTGCGTTCAAGTTCATTATCTGCGCTCAGAGCGCCGCTGTCCTCTCAAACGACTTGTGGGGGTGTTTCAGTTGAAACTTCCTACTTGGAACATGGAAGTTCCAACAGCTTGTTGTTGCTCTTTTCATTAGAGCCAGCTTTAGCATACGGCTAACATTAGCATATGGATACTACTCTTTTCCTAAGAGTTAGCCTTAGCATATAGCTAACATTAGCATATGGACTGCTCTTTTCCTAAGAGTTAGCATTAGCATACGGCTAATATTAGCATATGGACACTGCTCTTTTCCTAAGAGTTAGCCTTAGCATATGGCTAACATTAGCATATGGACACTGCTCTTTTCCTAAGAGTCAGCATTAGCATATGACTAACATTAGAATGCTGCCACTGCTCTTCGCATAAGAGTTGGCATTAGCATGTGGCTAACATTAGCATACATACAGTGCTCTTTTCCTAAGAGTTGTCATTAGCATGTGGCTAACATTAGCATACATACAGTGCTCTTTTCCTAAGAGTTGGCATTAGCATGTGGCTAACATTAGCATACGTACAGTGCTCTCCTCGGCTCTCATGCCGTCCAGCAGGTAGCGCAGGAGCTCCTGACTGTCCTGCTGCTGGAAGCCTTTAAACCTGGCCGCCCTGCAGAGACGACAACACACAACCAGGCTTAAAACAACAACATTAGAACACTACAAACATTAAAAACATCAAACGTTTCGCCCCGATATTTTCAGCGCTTTTATCTTTCATCTGTCCTCCACACTTTGTTTTGCTTTATCATTTGACTGCATTGTTTTGTTCATTATTTACCACAGATCCATGTTTTATTCGACATTATTCTTATTACTAATATTATTGTTATAAAATTTGTACATTTTTGTTTGTTTCTCATTTTCTGTAAAGCACATCCAGCAGTTTTAATGTCTGAAAGGTGCTGTATAAACATAATTAGCCTTTATTCAAGGGTCAGGCCTCATTTGCATGAGAGAAACCAGCCCTGAATATCTGATAACAACAGACAGGACCAATAGACAGATCTCATTTGCATATCGGTCTTAAAGGCACAGTAACAGTCATGTAAATATTAATGATTTATTGATTTCTATTTTTAAACACAGTTTTACTGAGTCTTACTTCTTGCACACTTGTGTGAAGAGCTCTCTGGGCGTCACCACGGACTTCTGGGTCTGCTGGATCTCGTTCAGCAGCTGGCACATCGCCAGGGTGAGGGAGCCGGGTCGGGGCAGCTGGACCTGCAAAGGATCCTGGGAGAGAAAAACAACACAAGAAAACTCATTTGCAAAGTTATTCAGTTCAGCTTTTCTCTAGATTTAAAGGGCCCATATCGTGGAAAACTCAGCTTCTCTTGCTTTTCTGAAACAGTTCGTAAACATTTTTGTGACGTCACAAGTACTAACTTGTGTACATATACCTATACGTCCATCTTTTCGGCTTACAGCAGTTCAGCCATTCACACTGAAGTTATAAGGAGTGTTTCAGCCCAGACTGTTTTTTGAATGAGACACAGCCAATCAGAACAGAGCTCATTTGCATATATGTTTTGAAGGCGAAGTAACAGAAACAGTCTGTTTTCTTATAAGGGATAAAGAGAGGTTGGAAAATAGTCATGTAAAAAATGAATTGTGGCTGTTTTTGGTACATAAAAACACACCAGATTAATAAGTATCAGCTAAAAAATGAAAATGCAAGAAAAATGAAGGATATGGGCCCTTTAATTTCTGCATGTGTGTTATTGCCTTTTTCTACATTACAAGTCCTTGTTCTGTTAATTCATTCCACCCAACAGAGAAGCTCTAAGGCTCATAGAGGCAGCCTGTACGTACCAGCTGTGAGGACGGTGGGGGTCTGAGTAACAAGCTGCTCTGCTCATCCTTCACTCCACTCAGCAGCCGACGCAGCAGCACCGTCTGAGACAAGTTCTGAAACACAGACAGAGGGGTCTTCACTCAGCCAAAAGTCAAAGACCACCTTCGGAGTTAAGATATAAGACAATCCACTTGCATATGAAAGGAGAACGTCGAAGTAAAACACGCGATGTTTCCAACACTGGAAGCTGCAGAGAAACCTGGAGGCTTCTAACAGCCACCAGGAAGACCCTGGTAGACCCCCATGGACCCTCACAGAGCAGGTACTGTTTGGGTGGTGGATCATTCTCAGCACTGCAGTAACACTGACGCGGTGGTGGTGTGTTAGTGTGTGTTGTGCTGGTCTGAGTGGATCAGACACAGCAGTGCTGTGTCACTGCTGGACTGAGAATAGTCCACCAACCAAAAATATCCAGACAACAGCGTCCTGTGGGCAGCGTCCTGTGACCACTGATGAAGGACTAGAGGATGACCAACACACACTAACACACCACCACCACGTCAGTGTTACTGCAGTGCTGAGAATGACCCACCACCCAAATAGTACCTGCTCTGTGAGGGTCCATGGGGGTCCTGACCACTGAAGAACAGGGTAAAAGGGGGCTAACAAAGTATGCAGAGAAACAGATGGACTACAGTCTGTAACTGTAGAACTACAAAGTGCACCTATATAGTAAGTGGAGCTGATAAAATGGACAATGAGCGTAGAAACAAGGAGGTGGTCATGATGTTATGCCTGATCGGTGTGTGTTAAGTGTCGATATTTTAACACAAAGTAGGAGAACACATTAATCTCAACAATAAATGTGACGGACAGATTTGGACTATGGGGCATTTTCACCAACATAATGTGAATCGAATCAAACCAAATGAAAAAGATCCAAAGATTCAAACTCTGGTTTGGACCCAAAGAGAACGAGTCAGGTGTGAAAACAGCCTAAAAGGATCCTGACCTGCAGGACTGCGTTGAAGAAGCAGGTGTTTCCCAGATTACTGAAGCCCTTCACGGCTACGGCTCCACAGCCGGACCCTCCCGTGGACTCTTTTGGGGCGCCGTTCTTCTTCGTGGCCTTCTTCAGCTCCTTCTGCTTCACCGTATTCTCCTGCTTCACCGTACTCTCCTGCTTTGCCGTATTCTCCTGCTTCGCCGTATCCTCTTGCTCCTTCTCAGACGCTTTCTCCACTGCGACCTCCGACACGCTGTTCTCCTCCTTCACCTCTAAATCAGGACGTGATCAGGAAAAAAGTTAGAGAAACTGTTTACTAGCAGTATGAGAACAAAGCTGGCTACCCCAGCATTTCTCTACCTCATCTCCATCTGCTGCATCTGCAGCGTACGGCTGATTAAAGGCCAATTTATAGCCCTATACAGTACGTGGCTGCACTGTAGGCTTCCACAGTCCAGCACCAGCACCAAAACACTGTAATAGAGCATCATTTGTAGTTTCTATGGTAACTAGAATGACGATGCAGCTACTGAAACAGTGAAACCACACAGGACAGAAAACAGCTGCTGCAGTCAAACTGCATTAACAGTACAATTAGAAGCTGCAGGGTCGCTACGGCAACGAAGAATATTGCTTGTTGCATGTGTTCTTTCTCCATCATGCAGGGTTGCCAGATTCACGGTTTTCCCAAAACATTCCCGTTAGTCTGAAAGTGCAGCGTCAGGGGAAATTACACTGTTTTCTGCTTGGACAGCTTATTAAAGTAATCGCGGTCGCAGAAAAAAAGGCTTGAAAATGAAAACAAAATCACCGTATAAATGTGTAACAATAATGAATAACTGGCAACCCATTCTGTTTCTGACAGCAGCGGAGCAGCAAGAAAGTAAACACAGCCAAACACAGTGACCATGGCAACAATCCAGAATGCAGAAATTTTAGTTTTTAGCCTGAAATGACCCTCATGAGCTCATCCTACTCAGTAACGTCACGTGAATGAATCACGTTCATCATCAGCACAAACTAACGAGCAGAACGAGCTTCGCTGAGAAGATCATTAACTCTGATCAGCTCTCAGCTTCATTATTAGAGCGAGACGAAGGAGAAAAAGGTGAGATGCGCTGCTTTTCCACCGTTTACAGGCTTTAACTTCTGTTCAGCGCTGTTGCCATGGTAACGCTGAATGATGGGGCAGCGCAGTGGAAAAAAAGCACATGAATTCAGATCTGAGCGTCTCATTAAGGTCGCATGGCCACAAATCGGATACGTATCCGATCTAGGACCACATATGTAAGTGGCTCAGGTCAGATTTGTAAAGATCAGATTTGCGTCCACACAGCCCTGAAAACATCAGATCTGAGTCACATTAGGGCAAAAAATCAGATTTGTGCCACTTCAGCCTGGTAACATGAACGTAGCCTAAGATGAACCCGGCATGCTGGAGAGTGAAAACACTAAACAGTGCCCTGTGGTCGTCCTCCAGGAGCCAAATCTGAGAACCAAAGAGCCTCAGCTCAGCACTAATCTGCGATACTCACTTCTAGTGGAGGTTTTCTGGCCGGAGCCTGTCAGCACCTGCTTCTTGATGTTGGAGACCAGCTGAGCCAGCTGCCCCGTGCTGGAGTAGTGGACGTCATCATCACAGAGATAACACCTTCATAAAAAAAACAGAGAAAGTCAATCAATGAATCAAGCTTTATTTCATCTCGGAGAACATTCAGAGTGACCCTCATTTACAATGTTGCCAAGTCGATACAGAACAAAGGATTAATAATATGTAGGAACATTTCAAATAATAAAAGTAAATTTAATTTAAAAAATGACTAAAATCAGGTAAGTATAAAAAAATGAAACATTAATAATAAAAATACATAAAAATGCAATAAAAATAGAAAGCAATAATTAAAACGTAGCTAAAATGTAAAAGTTAATAAAATCAAATAAAAATAAAAGGAGAATAAGATCAAAAAGTAAACTAAAAATGAATTAAAATGACAAATAATAATAAAATAATCATAATTGAAATAAAAATATGAATAATAAACAGCCTGTTTTAAACTGACGTCACAAAAAGAAACTCATTTAAATATATCCATAGATTCTGCCTTTAATAGTTCAACAATAAATAAAGAAAGAAAGAAAGAATGAAGGATAAATAAGGAGTCTGGGTTCTTTAAGCAGTTTACCATATAAAACTAAACATTTTACATGTATTGTTTCACTGTCTTCACAGTAATTGTCCAAGGACTGAACCTGGCTTTTTAACCCATTCACTCAGATCAAACAGGCTGAATATTCCCCACAGGGGGGCGCTGTTAGAACACAAACAGCTTCAGTGTGCATCACTGAAACGGACTATACTGAAAATGAAGCTCCTATAAAATAGATGAACCCACACCAGCAGAAGCTCACAAACACACTCACGTTCAGTCTTCTTTCGAAAGGAGAAGTGAACTTTATTACCTAAAAAAGCTGCAGTGCTTCATGTTACTTTACTAAATGTTTTACTTTGCCGTTATTTCTGCTCTCACCAAACACTCCAGCTGTCCAGGCTGAGCACCAGGCAGTGCGTGTCTGAGCGCGGCTTCTCGTAGTGTTTGATGGCATGTTGGTTCTCCGAGAATCTCCCGCAGCCCTGAGCGGATCACAGACAGAGACGGGTCGGTCAAAAGAAAGTGAAATCTATTGCATAAATTCTAATTTAAGACTTTCCAACTGAATATTTAAGGCTTTGAATTTCTAATGTCATTCCAGCCAATCAGGCAGACGCTATGCTATATCTAAAGCCACGTCACTGTACCTGTATCGCTCCACTGACCACTGAGTTACTTACCAACTTTGCTCTAAGCTGCTGGAACTACTTTTTTTGGCGGGAGAAACTGGCAACAATATAAAAGCTGTGGAGGTTAACATGATAATAATGTGATGGTGCTACAAATTATTGACACCATTCATTTTTAAACCATTTTTCCAAGGTTGACCTTTCAAACCATCCATAGTTCCACTGAAGCCCAGCTGTATGTTTTGTTTTGGGGGACTATTTTGTGTTGTTGCTAGAACTTTGGCTGTATTCCTCTCTTCAAATACAGATTTCTCCAGTTTATAACTTATTTAACTGAAGTAAGATGAAAATATTCATGAAGTAAGTCGATCCTGAAGTATTACTTACGAGCAAAGTGCAGCACTGAAAGCAAAACAAGAATAAAAAAATGGCGTAAAATTTGAGCAAATAAGACGAACGTGATAAATTAACCACACTCTTAGAAAAGAGGGTTCTCCAAGGGTTCTTTAGTAACGGAAATGGTTGTATATAGAACCGTGGACACTCAAAGAACCCTTTGCATGATTACAAGGATTATTTGCATCATGTCAAGCTTGACAGAAGAACCCTTTTTGGTGCTATATAGAACCGTTTTTAAAAAGGTTTAATACAAACCATACAGAACACGTTCTCCTTCTCCATGCAAAGAGTTATTTAAGTGTTCATGGTTCTAAATAGAACCATTTACAGCACATTTTCCATCAATCTGAAGAAACTTTCACCATGCAAAGCATGTAAAGGGTTCTTTGAGAGTTCACGCTTCTATATAGAACCATTTTCTTTCCTAAAGAACCCTTAAAGAACCATCTTTTTTAAGCGTACCATGTCACAGCACTATTACAAACATATTTAGAGCAATAATAGATTCTAATTTCCTATATTTTTTATATAACAGCAGCCGAACAGAGGAGGCGATGCGTTAAAAACATCACGGTCCACTGCAGCCGAATCACAGCCCTGATTTTATTCACCAGAACATCGACCTATTCGTTTAAACTGGACACAAGTCTTCTCTGCTTACTCTGTGTCCACATTTCAGACACATCCACACAGCCGGCCCCTCCTGACTGGCCTCGTTCTCCGCCTGAGCGTCGCCGTTACTGGGTTTCTCCTCCTCGCAGGCCTGGCAGGTGTTCCAGGTCTTGTCCAGGCTGACCTTCTTCAGCAAGTTGTGCTCTATTCCTTTACGGATGTGAGTACATGTAGCACCTACACAGCAGAACAGGGAAAATTAACCCTGTGTCATTTGTAGGGAAACCAAATTCTCATATCTGAGAGGCCTGGACGGCGCATACCTGACAGATCCACGGAGTTCTCTCCTCTCGGACTTCTGTCCTTTCCACGCTTTTTGCCCATTGTGGCGCAGGTTGATAGATTTCTATGGTAACAGAGTAAAATTTACTTTGCAAAACCACATATTTGGAGCATCTGTCCAGAAATACTCTGCTTAAAGTCCTGCAAATGCTAATATTTATACACTGCAGGGTCGATAACAGCTCTGATAATAAGTACAGTGCAATGCTGAAGGGGAACTCCACCAATTTGTTCAAAATTTCCTTCAGAGTTCAGTGTGTGAGATGTAAACAGAGAGATTCAGAGTGGTTTGGTGTGAAATGGTTCAGATGTCTTTACAGTGGTGGTGATAGGAACCAGGGGTCGCCATGACTACAACACAAATATAGACATTTTATTTACTATCCAGAACCACCAGTGAACCTACACAAGTCTTCTGAGTTTATATGGAGTGTTGATGATGGAAAATAGTGGAAAATCTGAAATATTAAGGGGACTATTTTGCCTCACAGCTCCCTGTATATTATGTATCCCTCCACCATGAATGGAGTTTAAGGCCAAAATCTTCTCTAAACTATCATAAAACAGTGTCTCAGTCATCAGGCAGTGAATTCATAACCATTTCATGTAATAACTGTCTGTGAGGGAGCTTTTAGAGGTGGACGTCTGGTTCCTATCACCACCACTATGAACAATTCTGACTCTGTAAGTTTATCTAGCAAATCAAACCACTCTGAACCACTCTGTTTACATCTTAACCAGTTTTTTTTTAAATGTTGGAATTTTAATGTACAACGCGTTTATTTCCCAAGTTTAACAAAACATTAAAAATGTAAAATATGAACCATAATATTTGCATATTTTATGTTTAAACCCCCCAGCCCGAAAAAAATATTGTTAAATTTAGCTTATTATTTTTACTTATTTTCATTACAACACACATAATTTGATCACAGGCACCCAAAAGTGTGCATAAGACTGTATATAAACTTAATGTCTCAACAATTACCTGACTTTTCAATTACAGTTTTTGATTTTATCACCATATTACATCAAGAAAATAAAATACATGACTAACATCAAACATATTTAAATACAGAATGATCTGAAAATCATTTATAAATAGCAGTGATTACACACTGTGGGGATTTCTATATTTCAGTCATTGAAAACAAAGGGCATCAGGTCTTTGACCCCGGTTCTCTAGACAGCAGATTCAATGTGAAATCACGGCACTGCGACTTGACCATGTTCGACTGAAATGCTGTGACAGTATTTCAAAGTGTCCACGGTAATGATATCTTGTGTGTTAATTACTGCAGTGTTTTTTACTGATTTACCTGCCAGTATACACCGATCAGGCATAACATTCTGACCACCTCCTTGTTTCTACCCTCATTGTCCATTTTATCAGCTCCACTTACTATATAGGAGCACTTTGTAGTTCTACAGTTACAGACTGTAGTCCATCTGTTTCTCTGATACTTTGTTAGCCCCCTTTTACCCTGTTCTTCAGTGGTCAGGACCCCCATGGACCCTCACAGAGCAGGTACTATTTGGGTGGTGGATCATTCTCAGCACTGCAGTAACACTGACGTGGTGGTGGTGTGTTAGTGTGTGTTGCGCTGGTCTGAGTGGATCAGACACAGCAGTGCTGCTGGAGTTTTTAAGCACCTCAGTGTCACTGCTGGACTGAGAATAGTCCACCAACCAAAAATATCCAGCTAACAGCGTCCTGTGGGCAGCGTCCTGTGACCACTGATGAAGGACTAGAGGATGACCAACACAAACTGTGCAGCAGCAGATAAGCTATCGTCTCTGACTTTACATCTACAAGGTGGACTGACAAGGTAAGTGTGTCTAATAGAGTGGACAGTGAGTGGACACTCACTTAAAAACTCCAGCAGCACTGCTGTGTCTGATCCACTCAGACCAGCACAACACACACTAACACACCACCACCACGTCAGTGTTACTGCAGTGCTGAGAATGATCCACCACCCAAATAGTACCTGCTCTGTGAGGGTCCATGGGGGTCCTGACCACTGAAGAACAGGGTAAAAGGGGGCTAACAAAGTATGCAGAGAAACAGATGGACTACAGTCTGTAACTGTAGAACTACAAAGGGACAATGAGAAGTATTTCTACTTTTTTTTGAGAGATACTTTTACTTTGAAGGAGTCAGTATTTTATTCAAGCAACTCACTTTTACTTTGAAAGAATAATTATTTATTTGGAGTCAGGACGCTCTTACTCGAGTCTGGACTATAAAGACACTGCAGGTCAGTGTTTCTCTCCTCCTGCTCCTGTTTTACTCCTCTGTTCTACACATTTCATCTCTTTCCCGCAATGACAGCTCAGTCTGATCAGTTAAACCTCAGCAGGCTTTCAGGAATGAGCCGAGGAGATGAATCAGCTGGTGGAGCTGAGGAGAACAGCACCAGTAAACAGACACACTGACCCCCCAGAATAAGAGCCCTGACCAGAGGTAAAGTCCTCAGAACCCAAACATCACCGCTCTAATCTGGACTCCGCTCTCCGCAGCCGGCGAGCCGTTAGCAGCGCAGCTAACGCGGCTAATGTGATGTCAACTTACCAGAAAGTGAAAGTGAAACAGCGCTGTAGTTTCTGGCGCTTTACAGTCTCAAAAACAGGGTTCTCCTGTGTGGGGAACCCGCAACAAACACAGAACCGTCTACCAGAGCGCTATCTGAGCCCATCGCTGAGGGGATTTACTGTGAACACTGGAGCGGATGGTGCTAACATACCGGACACGCCGACTGTCAGCGCTGACTCTGAGAAACCAGCCGCCTTCGGCTGGATTTTTCAAAATAAAAGTCCCAACACAACGCATTGTTTTCGGCACAAGGCACAGGATTTTGTTTAATACAGTTTTAATTAATATCTTTCACAAATATATCACGGTGTGCGGCGACTTTTAAGTTAGTTTTATGAAAATGAATGAACTTAAATATTAATAAAGGTATTATTTGTGTGAATACAATCTAATTAGAAAAGTTATATATTTGTTTTGCTTTCTTAAACATACACAAACAAAAAATGTAAATGTTAATAAACTACAGTTACAGAAAAAAAAATCACAATATATTAAAATGGATGACATATCAATGAGCGCTGTATTAAATATGAAAGCAGCATGTACATGGGGAAAGAAGTAATATAAATAATATAAATAATATTATAGTATGAATGAAACATCTCTTAGTAGTAAGTTAAGTACAAAATGAAGGAGCTACAATATAACAATGAGAAAATGCTATGTGTATTACTTTCTATATTACTCGCACTGCTCTACAGTAAACTAAAATACTTGCATATGACCCTGTCATAAAGAAGTAACTATCCAAATTTCCAAATCCATTGTTTTTTTAACACAAGTGGACTTTTATCTGACATTTTGCGTCGTACTGAAGCCTCTCAGAAGAGTGGCTGAAATGGTAATCATACCATAAATTATACCCTAAACAGAGCACTCACACTGGGGCCCTTAGCACTGGGGGGCCTATGGTGGACGGACCCCCATCAGCTTTATGGCATCGCTTATATTGCTGCTTAAACATTTTACGCCCATAATCTATGGATACTTTTTACAACAACAGTCTTCAACAGACAATGTACATTAGAGCACCAATGTTTTCACATGTAACAATAGTGAGTAAACAGGTGAATTACGCTCACTTTTAACTTAATTTCTTGTACCCATAATGGTGGACTCTTCTCTCCTTTTTTTATACTCTTATCTTACATTTTCTATTCTACATTCTGTTTTCCATGGCAACGGACGTCGTATAAGCATTCCAATGCACGTTACACTGAGTATGGCTATGTGTGAGACCACTTTGCTGAAAAAACCCATAGAACCCATTAAGTTCTGCTGATTCCTGATTATTTTGTAAAGTGTATTGGCTTTTTTTTTTTGATTGGTTGTTATCATAACGTAACGGACCCTAATGGTTTAACAGGTGACCATTGGCTGATTCTCAGAGCATTTGATGCCTTCCTAATGGGATCTAAAGGTGTTCTACATGAAACTAGTGGTCTCTGTTGGAAACCGTTAAGGCAATTCCTATTAGAAAGCAAAAAACCTTTAGGTTTCTAATGGTCCTATATCAACAGGGCAAAGCTTGATATGATTTAGACTTATTTTTGGGGTTCTTATTTATCAGATTTCCATTCATTGTTGTGCCTCCTTTGACTAAGAAAGTGCGCGTCTATTAGAACTTTTATTTTGAAACACGGCGTCCGCTTCCGAAACAGGAAAAAATGTCAAAATAAGAGTTCGCGGTATTTTTAACCAAACGCAAGTGGATCCTTTTTAAACTACTTTCAAGTTATTTTCATGTTACTCATATTGTCGATTAAGAGCGGGACGTTTAGACTCTAATCCTAACTTTAATACTTAAAATTACTCGTATTTTGCAAAGGAAATGGTTTATATAATAGCCGGCTTCCTCACACGTGGCTCATGTGAATATCAACAAACTGAGTTATTTTTTGGTGTAAGTGTGATCAGCGATCGATCAGTCGAGTCTGGTTTGTTTTTCATAATTAAAGCACTAAAACTAACACATTCAGATTTAACTGTGCTGTGAACTGAGCAGCGTTTACAGACCTGCTCAGTGTTTCTCCGCTCACTAAAGCTGGTTGCACTTTTCTGATCTTCTGGTCTGATCTGCAGCAGGTTTGTCCACTTCTGATCTTCTCTGAATGACCATAAAGGCCAGGACAGGATGGCCTGTTGTGAAGAAGCAGAGGCCCAGCTCGCTGAACTGGAGCTCCTGACCAGCATGTTCCCCAGCCAGGAGGAGCTGGTGGTGGACCAGCTGGCCTTTGAGGAGCTCAGAGCTTTTGTGGAGGGAAGAGCTGATTCTCCTCCAACCACCAGACCTCAGTTCTCCATCAGGATCAGTGTGGACTCCTCCACAGCCAACGGGGTGAATGTGCTGAATGTACTCAGTGACTTCTTACAGCTGACTGATACACTCTTAATAAAGATGGTTCTTCAAGGGTTCTTCAGTAAAGACAGGGGTTCTATATAGAACCATGAACACCCAAAGAACCATGTGCATGGTGAAATGGTTCTTCGGATTGATGGAGAATGTGTGTTCTGTTGTTACAAACTTGATGTCGTCACAATAGCTGGACCATTTTTGATGCTATATGGAACCATTTTCATAAAGGTTCGACGTAGAATCAGCCTACATCAGTCTGAAGAACCATTTCACCATGCAGAGAACCTTTTAAGTGTTCATAGTTCTATGTAGAACCACTGTCTTTACTAAAGAACCCTTGAAGAACCATCTTTTTTAAGAGTGTAGATTAGAGTTTAGTTCCCCTGGTTTTATTATATTGTATTATATTATATTATATTATATTATGTAATAGTATAGTACAGTATATTATAGTATAGTATAGTATATTAAATTATATTATAGTATAGTATAGTATGGTATATTAAATTATATTATATTATATTATATTGTGTTTTAAACAGGTGGACATCACACTGTCCTGTGCGTTCCCACTGGACTACCCAAAAGTGCTGCCCGAGATTGCTGTCAGGTATTTAACACCTTGCCTAACTGTCGCTTCACCACTGTGGAAGTGTCTGCACATAACTTTAATAATGATTATTAATTATTATTTTAATAGACACAATGATCTGAATGATTAAAATCTTTTACACACTGTCCAGAGACGCTGATGTAATGCTCAGTGTATTTGCCCAATAATATGTAAACTCCAATAATAATATAATAATAACAAAAACAATAAGCATAATAATCATATTCATACAAAAACTGCCACGAATAATAATAATGATAATAATAATGTTATTGTAGTTAGTCGTATTATACTAAAATTAAACCTCTAATTATTATTATTATATTATTATGAATAGCAAAACGAAACAGTAACAATTAGCAACTATGACTACTGCAGGTGCTCTGAGCTGAGTCGTGCTCAGCACACTCAGCTGGTCTCTGATCTGACGTCATATCTGAGGGAGAGCTGTGACGGAGGCCTGTGCGTGCTGACCGCCGTGGACTGGCTGAAGGAGCACACGCCAGGGTACATGAGCGAGAGCCCGCCGGCGGCCCGGAAAGAGCCGTCCGCCGGGCAGAGCGGGGATGCGTTCAGCAGGCTGTGGATCTACAGCCACCACATCTACAACAAGAGCAAGAGGAAGAACATCCTGGAGTGGGCCAAAGAGCTGGACCTGTCCGGCTTCAGCATGCCGGGGAAGCCGGGGATGGTCTGTGTGGAGGGTCTGCAGCCCGCCGCCGAGGAGTTCTGGGCCAGGTACTGACTTTACTTGCTGTTTTACTTCTCAAACTTCTCAGACTCCATGTGTCGTATTAGTTCTACCAAAGAAATCCCGTCTTAAACCCAGCACCACTTCTATATGTGTGTCAGAGTCCAGTCTTCAGTTATGAGTTACTTGTATCATGTATTTAAAGGGGGATTCTGATAAATGGTGAACATTTTTGCATAATTGAGTGTTTGAGATGTAAACAGTGATTCAGAGTGGTTTGGTGTGAAATAGTTGATTGTAGAGACTCAGATTTCTCTACAGTGGTGGTGATAGGAACCGGGGTCACCATGCGTAGTTGTAGTTTGTTAGCTACTTGTAAAGCTAGTCAGTGTTGTTTGTTAGCTAGCTGCCAAACTAATCAGTGTAGTTGTTTGTTATCCAGCCGCCAGGCTTTCAGTGTAGTTGTAGTTTGCTTATTGGGCTGCCAGGCTAGTCAGTGTAGTTGTTTGTTAGCTAGCTACCAAGCTACTCAGTGTTAGCTAGCTGCCAAGCTAGTCAGTGTAGTCGTAGTTTGTTAGCTAGCTGTAAAGCTAGTCAGTGTAGTTGTAGGTTAGCTAGCTGCTAAACTAGTCAGTGTAGTTGTTTGTTAGCTAGCTGTAAAGCTAGTCAGTGTAGTTATAGTTGATCTAGCTGCCAAGCTAGTCAGTGTTGTTGTTTGTTAGCTAGCTGCCAAGCTATTCACTGTTAGCTAGCTGCCAAACTAACCAGTGTAGTTGTTTGTTAGCTAGCTGCCAAGCTAGTCAGTGTTAGCTAGCTGCCAAACTAGTCAGTGTAGTCGTAGTTTGTTAGCTAGCTGTAAAGCTAGTCAGTGAAGTTGTAGGTTAGCTAGCTGCTAAACTAGTCAGTGTAGTTGTTTGTTAGCTAGCTGCCAAGCTAGTCAGTGTTTGCTAGCTGCTAAACTAGTCAGTGTAGTCGTAGTTTGTTAGCTAGCTGTAAAGCTAGTCAGTGTAGTTGTAGGTTAGCTTGCTGTAAAACTAATCGGTGTAGTTATAGTTGATCTAGCTGCCAAGCTAGTCAGTGTAGTTGTTGTTTGTTAGCTAGCTGCCCAGCTACACAACACCCTGCATGTATCCCTCCAACATGAATGGAGTTCAAACGTATGTTTTAGGCCAAAATCGTATCAAAACTCTCCTAAAACGATGTCTCAGACATCAAAATTGTCACTCTGTGTCTTCTGGAAGTTCTAGATAACCAACTGTGAATACTGTCGCAGTCTAAGCAGGTTTCCGTTATGAATGTAAAACAGCGGCAGCAGCTCTATGCTGGGACTCTTCACTGAAAGTCACTGTAAAACTGATACAAGGTAAAATAAATGCTAATATATTTGTCACAAGCTTCAAGTAAAACATGAAATGTCTCTTAGAAGCTTCAAACATCTGTGTTTAATGTATAACAGATATTATAAAACATGTTAATGCGAATCGCTGGCAGCTTAGTGCTAACAAACAACTAGCATCCCAGGGACGCTAGCAAAAGTTAGCATTATTGTAGCCATGTTTTTTCCTCATGTTTTGGCCTGATTTTTGGCATCAATGTCTCGAATTGAAGGCCGAGCTCTGACAGTCTCGGTTCCTCGCTGCTCGAATGTGACCGTTATCTGTGCTGACGTCCAGGGTGAAGGTGTTGACCTGGAAGAGGATCATGATTCGGCACAGGGAGGACGTTCCTCTGGGCTCGTCTGACACCGTGGACTCACTGCGCAAGTTCTCTGGCTTCGAGGAGGCTGTTTTCGACCCTCACGGGAACCGAGGAAATCACATGGACCTTGGCCAGCTGTTCCAGTACCTCAGCGACCGAGGCTGTGCAGAGATATTCCAGATGTACTTTGGAGTCGAGGGGAGATAACTGTGCTGTGGGGGGGGGGACTTTTAACTGTATGCACTACCTCCATTTACTATGGAATAAATGTTTTAAGTCTGTACATTTGGAACAGACTAGTATGGTTGTTTATACACTCAGGATAACAAGTGGAACGTGTGCTTAACCTAAACGACCACAAGAGGTCACTGTTTCCATTGTTAATATGAACATAAAGGCACTGCTGTGCTGCAAATGAACTCATGGCCTTGTAGCTCTAATTTACAGACAGAGTCTTGTAATGTTGAGGTTTTTAGGACAGATCTTATTATTTTATTCTGAATCTTAGCCGTGCTTTTTTGTAAGAGCTTTAAAGAGGCATTCTGGCCTGAAATGTAGAGTGTAAAGGGCCTGAATCTCTACTTATAATGTTTGTGTTGTTTTATTTACAGTCTTAATTCACGTTTTAATGATCATTCATTCAATGATCATAGGCTGAATGGGCGGGGCTTAATTGCTGTATGCTAAGGGGGTGGGGCTAAAGTACTCTATGGGTGGGGCTAAACTGCTGTAGGCTGAATGGGTGGAGCTAAACTGCTGTAGGCTGGATGGTGGGGCTAAACTGCTGTAGATTGAGTGGGTGGGTCTAAACTGCTGTAGCTGAATGGGTGGAGCTAAACTGCTGTAGACTGAATGGTGGAGCTAAACTGCTGTAGACTGAATGGTGGAGCTAAACTGCTGTAGCTGAATGGTGGGACTAAACTGCTGTAGTTGAATGGGTGGAGCTAAACTGCTGTAGACTGAATGGTGGAGCTAAACTGCTGTAGCTGAATGGGTGGGACTAAACTGCTGTAAGCTGAATGGTGGAGCTAAACTGCTGTAGGCTGAATGGGTGGAGCTAAACTGCTGTAGCTGAATGGGTGGGGCTAAACTGCTGTAGGCTAAATCGGAGTATATATGCAAATGCATTAGTGTTTGTGACATCACAAAAACAGGAAACTGTTCCAATGTGAGGGATAACAAGTGGTTGGAAATGTGAGGGATAACAAGTGGTTGGAAAACAGTCATGTACAAATAAATTACTGCAGTTTTTGGTTCAAAAAACCCACACAAATGTTTTAAGCAGACCTCAAAAATAAAACATGAGGCAAAAGTAGAATATGTGCCCTTCAGTTTGTGCATATTTGTTTATTTATTTCTAAATTACGGACCCTTTTTTTATCAGTCTGTCTGTCTATGGTCCATAATAGCATGAGGAATAATAGTAGTAGTGGTAGTAATAATAATAATAATAATAATAATATAATATAACAGAATTCCATATATAATGTATGTGCGAGTCCAGTCTTCAGTTATGAGTTACTTATTTTTAAGGAAAAAACATGTATTTAAAGGGGAATTCTGACAAATTTTGAACATTTTTGCATAATTGAGTGTTGGAGATGTAAACAGGGGGATTCAGAGTGGTTTGGTGTGAAACGGTTGATTGTAATAATTGTATGAATGTAATTATCATTTAATATTATTTAATCTTCTTTATCTTTATAGAGCATAGCTTTCTCAGAATAGTGAGATATTTAATCAGTGAGAGAATAATTATGACAGAGCTTTTACTACATTTAGGGAATAAACACCCATGTAAATGTAATGTAAATGTAAAATCCCATAATAAGCCATAATAAGCCTGTCTCAGAACCAGCCCATTCGTCTCTCTGTGCCTCCTGAGAGCTCGTTCCTGTTTAAAGCAGTCATTGAATCAGTCTGAACATGTTTTATTCTGTATTTGGAGCCACTGCTGCACTGATTCACACGATCAAACAGTCGTAAACAGAGCCAGCGTCCATTCAGATGGCCCTCCTTTTTGTCTCTGCTCGTACAGTGACGCTGAAGCTGCTCTCTGTCTGTGTTCAGGACAGTTTTCTTCATCGCCGCCGTGACCCGTGTTTGTGTTTGCGTGGAGCTGCTGAATGGGGTCGTCCACTCCAGCTGCATTTTAAACAGCCTGAGTCCTTTCATGAGCGCCTCTATGAACCGGCTGCTACTGTCATTAGCTCTCGCCACAACAAACACGGCCAGCACAGCCATTAATATGCTGTCATCAAACTGAAGCCTGCTTAGCTCAGGCACATTTGAGAGCACTGTCAAATACTGCTCTGTATGAAAGGGGAAGTCCAATGATATTTCAAAAATTCTGTGTGATTAAATGGTTAAGACGTGTCATTCTGAGTGGTTTGGTGTGAAACACTGTTCTAGAGAAACTTACTGATAGGAACCGGATGTCCACCTCTAAAATCTCCCTCACAGAACGTTACTACATGAAACGGTTATGAATTCACTGCCTGATGTCTGAGACACTGTTTTTTTCATAGTTTTGAGAAGATTTTGGCCTTGAAATCCATTCATGGTGGAGGGATATATAATATGCAGGGCGCTGTGAGGCAAAATAGTCCCCAAAGAAAACGTATTATTTCAGATTTTCCACTATTTATATCAACACTCCATATAAACTCAGAAGACTCGTGTTGGTTCACTGGTGGTTCTGGATAGTAAATAAAATGTCTATATTTGTGTTGTAGTCATGGCGACCCCTGGTTCCTATCACTACCACTGTAAAGACATCTGAACCATTTCCAAACCACTCTGAATCAGTCTGATTACATCTCAACCACTGAATTATGGGGGAATTTTAAACACTGCTTGGCTACTAGCTAACAAACTGCAACTACACTAATAGCTTGGTAGCTAGCTGAGAAACTACAACTATACTGACTAGCCTGGAGCTAGCTAACAAACTACCACTACACCAGCTTGGCAGCTACCCAGATAGCAGATAGTTCTGGGCCGATTCTGGCTTTCATACTCGAGTGTTGACTACCAGGCAAATGTTAGGCATGCAGGCCAGAACAGGGCCAGATCCTGGTCAACGTCTTATTTGGTTTTGCCTCATGTCTATATTTGTGGACCACTTCTGGCATGATTGTTGTGGATTAACAATGTAGTTGGGCCAGATTTGGGCTACATCCATTAGTTTTACCTACTTTACAGTATGTGGGACTGATCAGGGCTGAGGACCCAGTCAGGCCAGATCAAACACAAGGATATGGCCCACAAGTAGACCAGACAAATTTTGCCATCTGGGTAAATGATCTAATCCTCTTATCTACAACTACGCTGACTAGCTTGGCAGCTAGCTGAACATCAACTACACTGACTAGCTTGGTAGCTAGCTGAACATCAACTACACTGACTAGCTTGGCAGCCAGCTGAACATCAACTACACTGACTAGCTTGGCAGCCAGCTGAACATCAACTACACTGACTAGCTTGGCAGCTAGCTGAACATCAACTACACTGACTAGTTTGGCAGCTAGCTGAACTACACGGACTAGCTTGATAGGTAGCTAACAGGCTCCTCCAATAATATTCAGTATTTATTCAGTACAGGCTTTAAATTGGAGAAATTTACTGATTCAACAAGCAACATAGTAAATAAGGAATGTTGTTTCACACACGTTGAATATTTGTGTTTACGTCAGAACATAAATAGTGCTAAACTCTGTGGAAATATGGATGTACGACACCGTTAGCTTGGCGCTAACATTGTAAATCCCACAGACATGCTAGCAGAAATTAGCATGATCGTAGAGATGGTAATAAAGGCTACTTAGAAAGGAAGGTTTCTACATTAAACATAATGATATAAAATAACCACATAATCAAGTCTGTTATGCTCGGTTTGAGGCCCCTGTGTGATGATTTAGACATGCAGTTAGCATCATGCTAATCAGTAGGGTATGAGCTCTCATTACTTGTTAGCTACATTAGCGCCGTAGCTAAAACTAAAACAGTAAACATGTTTGATTGATTGATTGACTGTTTGATTTAAGTGGGGATTTCATTTAAAAGAGAAACACTAGTTTTTTTATTATCATTATTTTGATACTGCAGCCTCTCAGTCGTCCTTCTGTGACTCAGTCTCTCCGGTTTGTGGGAGAAAAGATCTTTTCAGCCTGTTTTACTCACATACACAGCGAGAGTGTGATTATTGGGCGCTACACGGCGGCTGCTGATTGGAGGAAGCAGATGTGCTGCAGGTCGAGGTCACTTCCTCTAATCCGGCCGAAGCTTCGCGGCGGATTATAATCCCGCTCCCAGTTTTGATTAAGACGGCAGGGTCAGGAGATTAAAGTCCAGCGAACAAAATGAAAGCAGTTTAAGTCCAATCCCTGAATTCATCAGAAACGCAAACCCTTAAACTCTCATTACGCCGCCAGATTAATACAGAGCCCCCCACACCAACCCCAGACCACCCCCCCCGACCACAACCACAGAGCTTATACTGTAGATTTATACTGTATCTCTACTCTCTCTCTTTGCCTCTCTCTACCTCTCTCTCTCCTTTCTCTCTCCCCTCCCTCTGTATCCCTGGGCTTGATCTCTATGTTTTGGTCTCTGTGTTTGATCTCAGTTTTTGGTGTCTGTGTTTGATCTCTGTGTGTGGTCTCAGTGTTTTGTCTCTGTGTTTGGTGTTTGGTATCTGTTTATGATCTCTGTGTTTGATCAGTGTCTGGGTATCAGTGTTTGGTTTCTGTGTTCAGTCTCTATGTCTCATCTCTGTGTTTGGTCTCTGTGTTTGCTCTTGGTTTCTGTCTGTTTTTTCTCTCTCTGCCTCTTTCTTTTTTTTTCCACTCTTAACCCCGCCCCCCCTTCTGTGTTTGATCTCCATGTTTGGTCTCTGTGTCTGGTGTCATTATTCAGTCTCAGTGTTTGGTGTCTATGTTTGGTCTGTTTCTGGTCTCTGTGTTTGGTCTCCGTGTAAGGTCTGTTTCTGGTCTCTGTGTTTGGTCTCTGTGTTTGGTCTCTGTGTAAGGTCTGTTTCTGGTCTCTGTGTTTGGTCTCAGTGTTTGGGCTGTATTTGGTCTCTGTGTTTGGTCTGTTTCTGGTCTTTGTGTTTGGTCTCTGTGTAAGGTCTGTTTCTGGTCCCTGTTTCTGGTCTCTGTGTTTGGTCTCTGTCTGAAGTCTGTTTCTGGTCTCTGTGTTTGGTCTCTGTGTGAGGTCTGTTCTGGTCTCTGTGTTTGATTTCTTTGTATGGTCTGTTTCTGTTCTCTGTTTGGTCTATTTGTAAGGTCTGTTTCTGGTCTCTGTGTTTGATTTCTTTGTAAGGTCTGTTTCTGATCTCTGTGTTTGTTCTCTGTGTTAGGTCTGTTTCTGGTCTCTGTGTTTGTTGTCTGTGTAAGGTCTGTTTCTGGTCTCTGTGTTT